CCTGTTAGAATTACAAACCAATAACTGATTACAGAATATTTCTACTATATTAGTCTCTGTTAGAATTACAAAGCAGTAAGTGATTACAGAATACTTCTACTATATTAGTCCCTCTTACAATTACAAACCAATAACTGATTCAAGAATACTTTTACTATATTAGTCCCTCTTATAATTACAAAGCAGTAAGTGATTAGAGAATATTTCTACTATATTAGTCCCTCTTACAATTACAAACCAATAACTGATTCAAGAATACTTTTACTATATTAGTCCCTATTATAATTACAAAGCAGTAACTGATTAGAGAATACTTCTACTATATTAGTCCCTTTTACAATTACAAACCAGTAACTGATTAGAGAATACTTCTACTATATTAGTCTCTGTTAGAATTACAAACCAATAACTGATTACAGAATACTTCTACTATATTAGTCTCTGTTAGAATTACAAACCAATAACTGATTACAGAATATTTCTACTATATTAGTCCCTGTTATAATTACAAACCAATAACTGATTACAGAATATTTCTACTATATTAGTCCCTCTTACAATTACAAACCTGTAACTGATTAGAGAATAATTCTACTATCTTAGTCCCTGTTATAATTATTGTATATATATGTTCAACAACAAATTCGGGTTATATATAAGCAACTAAACAGACATTGGGTCGAAAAGCGTTTAATTAGTTTCCTCTAACTTCCTGAATTTTGTAAACCCGTTTTGAAGCACTATTTTTCGAAACAGATAGAATAAATAAAGGATAGAAACGTAAAAAGAAGCATCTTTAAATCTTGGAATGTTTTGAAAATTAAAATTTCTTAAGCCACACATGTCATCTATAACTCAAGAACGTCGAATTAAAACATCTGCAAATCGTGTTTCAATTTTCTGCCATGTAGCAATTTGTATGCAAATAAAAAAACTAGTTTACATCCAATAGCAACAACGTTCAAATTCAGCTAACATGGCTGATACTTGCAGTCTCTCTTTTAATATTCATTAAGTCGTATTACCAACGATCCCGAGCAAACTGGGATCGAATAACGTAACTTGTTTAATCGGATTTTCAACTCACGAAAATCAATACGTTTGTAACTTGAAGAAATGTGAGCTTGTTCTATCGCTCCAAAAAGATAATTAAACACTCGGAATGCGCCCCATTTGAGTACCATTTATTTTACATAAGTTGAACTATAATTGGTCTGTCACTCTGCAATTTTTACTCTATGCAAGCTTATAATATAGATACAATGTGGAATATTTACTAAGCTCTAAGTAACAGTTAGTTTATTCAAAATGTCTAGTTAAGCAGATCTTCAAATAAATTATTCTCCTCCTTTCTAGTTGTCTACACATATAGCACGTGCATGTTAACACAGAATTATGATAAACAATGATGGTCAGTTCTGCAGCCTATGCACGTTCAACTTCTGCTTTATATTTATTTAAACAGGTTCTTTTCAAATGCACGTGCAAACGTGTCTCAATTCTAAAAAAAACATACAGAGTTTTGAGAAAAGGTTATTACAATGAACAGCAAGAAAACAACACCTATACATATGTATCCGGCATAAACATACTAATTATACATCAGTATCTCATCCTTACTTCCTGCGTAATTCACCGGAAATGTGATTACAAATAAAAACTTCTCAAATAATATATAAAAAAATCAACTATTAAATTTTGTCTTCGGAGGTTTTAAACAATTACAATATAGTTAACTGAAATTCTAAACAACATTTACTTCAACTAATATGTCAGTACTTTGTCTGTCTTATACCAACTGACCTGGTGAGCCCTGGTAGTGGACGAAAGGCCTCGTCGGGACTGGATAAGGCAACTATAGTTTGGTTGACATATTATAATATGTTCTTTGCTTAAACTCACGGGTTCTTAGAATAGCATTATTGACCTTTTCCACAATATTTTACATCCCTGAATAATTAGGACCTAAATTTTGGAAATGACATCAAGCTAAGAACTTTATACTTTAAATGGTATTTTGAAATAAATAATATATAAGGTCATTAATCCAATTTAAATGACCGCTCTAAATAAGGCGATACCTGATATAACGTAATCTTCAAATTACTTTTACGTGCTTCATTACTGTGGCCGGTCGTGGCCAAATGGTTAGCGTGCCTGACTGTGAATCCGAGGGTCCATGTTTCGCACCGCTTTGGACTTAGGACTACGAGTACACTATAAAAGTGACGGTTAAGTCCTGTCGTTCGATCAGAGAGTAGCCCAAGAGTTGGTGGTGAGTGCTGTTAACTAGCTGCCTTCGTTCTATTCTATCAATTCAAAACTATGGACAGTTACGTGCCGATAGCCCTAGCGTAAAAAAAAATGATAACACATGAACAAGTGTTCACTGTCGGTGGAGTGCACATATTGAGTAATTTTAAATTTTTACCTGTTACAACATACAGTGTAACTAATAGAGTGAAATCCAAGGAAAATACATAGGAGACCCCTACAACAATTAGTGATTAATTACAATAATAATGATAGTCTTGTCAAAATATATTATTGTGAATGTGTGTTACTAGGGGCCTTGGAAGGGAATAAAGTCATGAACTCATAAGCAACTTAATGCACAAAGAGTTTAGTCAATTGGATGGACCCCATCGTAGTTCTAGGATTAACCAGCATAGAAACAACTACATCGTACAACCGATGTAGTAGTTTCGGCGGGTGAGTTAAAACATTCTGTTGTAACGACGCGCTAGGCACGTTGTAGTAATCTACTTGTGTTATTCCGAAAAAAAAAATTCCACCGTATTGTGCCAAGACATATAAACTTAGATTTAAAATACATCGTTTAATCTAATTTGCTTGATGTCTCTCTGACCGTGTTGTTTGTTAGAAACAACTGAAAATTGTATTAACATATAGTTAACTGATAATATAATCGTATCAACAATACACGAAGTTAATGAGACGTTGTGGTTCTCTCTAGGTAAATGTGAGCCTTGATAAACGAAACATTCAGGGCTCTGAGGCTTATGCACAAATGTATATTACAATGATTTGACTTTTCAGCCTTCCAAACAAGTTTGATAGAAGCGAGTATACAGGAAGATGTTTAACATTCAGGGGGGAGAGGGGCAATAGTGGCCAAACTTGATACCCCCTGCAGCACAGGTACCTCCTGCCACAACTGTACTTGTACAGAACAACGACCATCGAGCGACACAGCATATATATTAAGATACTCGTTAAGGAATCAAAAACTGTATAACAGACAATGTTGGATAATTATTCCCTTTCTTCTTTCTTTTGTTATTAAATCCCTAATGACGTCATTAGACGCTAATTGCATGTCCTGCTTTGTGGAAGGTAATAATTGACTCATTTAACTGATTAAGTAATTGTGTCTTTAAATTCAAAGACAAAAATATTAAAAAGTAGAAGTGTGTCATATTTCAGTTTCCAGTTACCATAGAAAACAAATATGGTAATTCGTTAAAATATACGTTGGCCCCTTAAAACTTATTGGGGACCAGGCTCCCCTGACCTCCCCGTTCCTACATCACAGATATGTTTGCGCATTATCTTTCTTAATCTAAAATTTAATACTTAAATAACTAAGGAATTATAATCATGCAATTTTCAACATCTCGTAACCCAATTAAACATTTATTGTCATGATTCTTTTCACTCCAGTGAGTAGTGTTACCCCATGAAATGACAACTGTGCAAGAAAGGGCTCAATGAGTTGTTTGGCTTGCAGGGACCAAGCCAGTAAATGTGGTGCAGTGTAATTACAGACGCCAGTACTGGAAAAAGAATGGGGGTATGTTAGAGATATCGTGTATCTCACACCAAAAGTAAACATCACAGAGCTAAAGACCAGGATAACGGACGCAATCTATCGCTACTGAAACTGTGAGCATGTTGCAACGAACATGGACTAAAATCAAATATCGATTAGACATGCTAAGAGCTACTAACGGTGCACATGTAAAAGTCTACTTACTTATCAATAAAAACTGTTTCAGTTGAAAACTGCATGGTTGTATTTCCTTAATTAGTTAATTACATTTTAAAATAGGAAAGACAATTTTGGATCACACTGTACTGTAACACTTACTTCAGGCAAATCACATTCCAGCATTTACTTTATAAGGTATTAAAAGGCTTTTCTAAATAGATTGTTTCTGTTATACAACACATATAAATAAAAACAAACACAATTATCGTAATTAATGTGTAAAAAATTTATCACTTGCTAAACCTGTCATTAATGCACTCTGACTCCGTTTTATACTGTTTGCAGTAGAATACAAGAGGCACACATAAAGAAATATTCATATAAAGTATGATAAATGTAAGTGAGCAAAACTCAATACATTTTTTTTATATAATCTAAAGTATTTTTTGTTTTATGTTTGTTTTTCACAAATATTTTTAATCAGATGTACTTGCAGCAAAAACTAAACTGCGTAGGTTGCTTTAAAGTTTATATCTTATTTTTATATAGACCTCTGCATCCTATATTACATTTCTATAACCTAAGTATTAGATTCTTACAGGAACTACAACACGACTAACCGTTTAATACCATTATTAATTTACTTAACTAACTGCTATTGATCTCATAAAAAACCCTCATAGTATTTTGCATATTTAATTATCCATTTTGTGTTTCCTAGTGCTAACTACCTAACTTACGTAATGCTACTTACTACAAGGTAAAACCCATCCAATAAATGATTTATTATCTTCTGGTTCTGTACTTGAATGACCATTTCTGCTACAGCGTGTGCGTGTTAGCTCTTCAAGGAAACGTTTTTCTTGTTGGTTTTTTTTTGTGGGTTTTCTAGACACACTATCGCTCGGAGTCACACCTTTTACTCTTCACACGATTGTTTGTTTTTAATGCGAAGTTGTTATTTTAGCATTTTTTCGTTGAGGACTTTCAGTCAATCTAAGGATTATAGTCGATAGTTATATTTAAGATACCAACGAAGTAGAAGTACCTTGAGGTCATGTCACGGGGTTTATTGACTCTATAAATAAGAATAGTCCCATTTTCCGCCATTGTCTCGAAGATATACCTCACAGTATGATTGGAAGCTCTGCGATATGTAGTTCGATCTTTTGTCCATCTCGGCCCCTTAGGTCAATGGTTTTTCTCGACTATTTCGATATCAAAAAGAGGTGTTCGTTATAAATTTAATATATCTTTATGCAGCATCTTTATTTTTTTAAATAAATAAATATTTAGTTACTATATACGTTTTTTAGAACAAAGCCACGTTGAGCTATCAGCTGTGTGCGCCACGGCGTTGTAAGTCCATAAACTTACTGCTGTCCCACTGGAGAGCTATTGAATATGAATAATTACCAAATTTATTCACAGTGGGATGTACAAATAGTGGTTACAAGGAGAGTTCAGGGAATCACAAAAAATGAATGAGTATAGAAAGTTTGTTTCTCAGTTTGTGAAACTCGGTAGTTATTCTAATAAGCCTAACGCTCGTGTTAAAAATCACATAATCTACAAAGGTAAAATCTGCAGTTTACGTGATTTTGAACACAAGTTTAAACTTATTTTTCTAATGCTCCGCTCGTTTTTAACTGTAACTTCTAAAGTATTTTACTTCATATAAATAAAAATGTTTCGGAAAACGTTTTGTCTCTTATTATCCAGCACAACTGAATAGTTCTGGTATTCACGAAAGGACTCTTGAAATGCTATTTTTACACGTCTCTGAATTCGAAAAAGAAATGAACTTATCAAGGAAAATGTGGGAGTAAATCTGCAGCTTGTGTGATTTTGAATATCAAATTTAAGGCCTATTGCTTACTGATGCATCGTCAGCTTTTGGCATCTAAACCGTAACTTTTAAGTATTCTAGACTATCAATGGAAATCGGAACGGTATATCTCTTATTATTGGTTTAAAAACAATAATGATATATGATTAAGTGGGTTTATATATCATTAAGTTAGCATTCTATTCCAAGAATTGTACCTTCTCCCACTTTTTTAACAGCTGAAGGAATGAGAAACCGTGCTAATTATACCAGTAGAGGCGCCAGTAGCGATGCGGCCCTTGTCTAAAATCAGATACCCGGATGTTAACATTCTTCATTTTCTTTGTTTTGCCTTAAACAACTTGTTGTGTGATTGTATATTCTAAGAGAGGTGATCATTCTTAGCCTTCAAACCTGGAATTGTCTGGAAAGTGGATTCATGTGTTCAGAGGGGACCAATGGAAATCGAAGAAACGAGTTGTTTATCATGACCACTTCTTGCTTGACATCTATGTATCTGAAACTAGGTATTGTACGCCTATGTTTAATAAAGTTTTCAATAATTCTGCTTTTCATTTAGAAATTTGTCTAAAATATTCCCATTTTATAACCTTTTTTATGTTGAGTCAAGTTGTGAAATTTTATTTTCAAAATACACTCCCCTCCCCCACCACGTCCCATTTAGCTAAGCTTAGTATATAAAATATTTGTATAGGCCTATGATTAGGCTTATGTAATGCATGATATTTGATAGAGACTAATATTTCAATAATACTTACCCCGTATGTTAAAATATATAGTAGATCTGAATAGTGATTGACAGTAAACATTATAAAAGAAATATATATATTGTTGTTTGGAACTTCACTCAGAAGAAGACCAGTAAAACCAGGTGCCGTTCCAAGTGTTTTCAGATGGTCCAAGACAATCACACCACAGCCATGAGAAGAACCGAGTGAGCACAGAAAAGAGTAAAATGT